AGTTTACTCGATGGCAGTTGGTTTGGGAATGCACTGTCAGGTTTAATATTTCACTTCAATATTAAGAATACTGATGAGGGCAATGAATGTACAAATGTGCTTTACATAATTGATTATGTATGGATTGCGGTAAGAGTTGTATGAGCCCCTAATAAAACGATTTTAAAAATACTAATTTATAGCCTCACCAGTTTACACAGACCACTCTATGTACATGTAGTTCATCTCTCCTTTTCCTCGATTGTTTGTTCAGCTGCTACTAATTGCTGCTGTGTTTGAAAACTGCACCATGCCAACAGCTGTATTCACCACCACCACCCCGGAAATAAACTCCAACTCACTGCCGTTGAATCAGTTCCAACTCAGACACCCCGCAGGACAGCACAGAACTGCCCCTCTGGGCTCCTGAGACTCAATCTTTCCAAGAGCCAAAAGCCTCGTCTTCTTCCCTTGGAGCAGCAGTGGGTTCAAACTGCTGGCCCTGTGGTTCGCAGCCTAACACATGACCCACCCACCACTCGTGAGCTTCTTACGGTCTGGTAAGGGGCTTCATGTCCACTCGTGTTTGCCCCTCACAATTATACTCTCTGGCTGTGTTTTATCAGCATTAGTAATTCTTCCTCAGAGGAGGCTTGCCCTGACCCCAGAGACCAGAGTTACACTCTTTTCCACTCTGTGCTTTTGATAGTACTTTGAGCAAGTCTGTTTAATCACATTGTTTTGTAATTATTGAATTTCCAGTCTGGCCACTACAAACCCTGTGGTCTGCACCCTTTATCCTGTCCACATGGTTCACAAGTATTACGTGAACTGACCCATGCCTTCCTCGTTTCGCTTGGTTCTCTGGTTGTGAAGCTGTGAGCTGATTAGAATCTTTAAGGCTTCACCACCCTATAGATGTACAATATGAGCCTTTATGTCATTTAATTTTTTTTAGTGGTCACATTCAAGGAAAAGTGAAACTAATTTTAGTAAAGAGCTATAACAGCATATAATCTATATTGTTTAAAAATATTAGTACGATAGGTTTACTTTCTTGGGTACTAAATCTTCAGAATCCAGGTATATTTAATATTTGTAGTGTATATCAGTTCAGACTAACCACACTGCATGGGCTCAGATGGCTAATGGTTACTAATTAGGGCCATACTGTTGAAAGGGCAAGATGTCATTTTAAAACATTCCCCTTACCCTTAAAAATTCCCAAACGTAATTGACCTAACACCCCCTTTTCAGAAAAAAAAATTGCTCAGCACCACCCCAGAAATTAGAAATTTTTTTTACCGTAGCCCATAATCCAGGATAAAGTGCGGGTACCCACATTTGGAACCACTACCACCCACAGGCTGGACTGTTCTGTCGCCCCAGCACCAGTGGGTAGTCACACCCACTTTGGGAAACACTATCCCGACACTCCTTATTCCTCTTCCCACCTTGCAGTTATTGTACTAGACCAGTGACCCTTAAATCTCACATAGAACTTCCAGACTCCCCTGTACCTCGTGCCAGAGCTCTGGGAACCTGTGTTCTGAAACTGTTCCTGCTTATGCCTTGTAGGGGATCATTAGTATACAAGAGGGCTTCAGAAAGTTCCCGGATGTCAAGTCAGAAACTGAACTCACCCTTGTGTGAGAATAACCGATCCCGGAAGAGGAGAGGTGTGCCATCTCCCCCGATAGGGTCCCCGGGGTTAGGAAAGGAGAAGAACAAACCAAAGCGGCGTGAAAACAGAACAGGCGGTGGTACATTGAGAGGACTGCTGCGAAGAGTTGAAGCAAAGTGGTGGATGGAAAACCGATGGCTTGTGCTCGTTAACAATAAAAAGTTAATATATTTTTTTAATTCATGGGGGAAAATGCCATTTTTCCATGAAGTTTTTGAAGCTTCACACATTTGTGGAATTAAACTTTTTTATTTTTAACCCTTTTTTAAAAAAATGTTTTTATGTTTTTTAAAAGCATGGCATGACACATCTAAAACCCCAAAATATGCAGACAGGTCTCCACTTCATGAAGGGGTACATATTTCTCTTGGGAATCTCAGATAAATTTTCCTCAATTGGCATTTAGCAATATCGAAATTGTCCTTGGTTATTCTTGGGGGATAAACTGCTTGTTCTGTGTCGCCTCATTTTAGGTCATCAAGTGCAAGGCCGCGGTAGCCTGGGAAGCTGGAAAACCCCTCTCCATAGAAGAGGTAGAGGTGGCACCCCCAAAGGCTCATGAAGTCCGGATTAAGGTAATGCTGTATCTGGAGGGGAAGACTTCGAATGAGGGCTCTGGGTAGCTGCGTAGGCCCGAGAGCTACAGAGGATACATCCCAAGGGCAGTGTTGGGAGAAGGGAGTGACAGCCACCCGGCCGTGAAATCACAGCCGCCTTCTCTAAGGGGGATCCCTCTCACTCACCCTTGAGGCTCCCGTCCATCTTTTCTAGCTTTGCAAAGGCGCGCCATCCACTTAGGTCACTGGGGCCCTGCAGCCTGTCGTCTTGTAGCCAGAGTTTAAAGTGATTTGGGAGCATGGCCCCTTTCTGTCAAGCCTAGAAATCAAAATGTCTTGGGGCACATTAAAAAAAAAAGGGTGGGCTGGACCTGATCTGGCTTCCACAATGTTCTATAATTTGGGTTTGCATTGCTTTCTTCCGTTTTTGTGTGTCTCCGAGGCGTGACGTCACTGGAGGGCACTTCTTGAGGCTGTGTTACATGCTTTCCCAGTTTTCCCTATGTGAAACCCAGGATTGATGAGCCTAGAGGGACAGCAAGTAGAATTGGGGGTTCCGGGGGTGGGAGGGTGGTACGGTGATGGGGTTGTGGTGGGTAAAAGGGAATGACATCAAGGAGTCCACACAGAAAAAGAAGGTTTGAAAACAGATTGTAGTAGCAATTGTACATTTTACTTAACGTGATTGAAATATGGAATGATATGATATATGTATTAAGTCCCAACTAATTAAAAAAAAAAAAGGAACAACTTTTACTTTTGTTAAAGGGGTTCATGATTGACTGCAAAAACAAGCAAGTGAAATCGTGGTTCTCAAAACCAAACTCATTGCCATCGAGTTGATTCCTATGCATAGCAACCCTACAGGACAGAGTGTATCTTCCCCTGTGGTTTTCCGAGCCTGTAACCCTACAGACTGGAAAGTCTAATCTTTCTCCCGCAAAAAGGCCAGCTGGTTTCAAAGCACTGACCCTGTGGTTGGCATCCCAAAGTGTAACCCACTACACCACCAGGCCTCCTTGAGTTCTTGGTTTAAAATGTACTCTGGCCAGTTCAGAGTTCAGCATCCCAAACACAGCTGGAGCTGAGGAATGAGGTGACCCTTGGAAATGAGCATTGCACAAGGCACTCAGCTGGAGAGATCTGGAAATGTATACCGCTCCATGTGTCCAGGCATTCTGGGCTGTGCTTATTTTAATGTGAAATCAATGCTTGAAAGTTGTCATCATTGACTAAAACTGACATTTTAGGGACATCGCCTGGCCCCTCTTTTCTTTATTTTGCTGCTGCTTTGGGAATACTTCCCCTCATCCAGCTGTGGACACATAACAAGCAAACACTGCCTCTCCCACTCCCGGGGAATCGCACATAGCTGGTTGAGAAGCTCAGGCCCAATATCTGCTTAAAATCCTTTGCAGCTCATGTTAAGGAACTGGAAACTTTATCATTTCTGTTTGTTTGTTTTCTAAGTTAGAAGTTGGGCTGATTGTAATTTTTACCATGGAAGAAAAGATTTTTCCTAGCTGTACAGAGATGAGCTGTATGGGGTACTCACCGGGTTGAGTGATGTTTGATTAGAACCCCTTCTGACAGAAGAAACAGCAAAAGGATATTCCATTTCATGTGGGTGTGAAGATGCAAAGCACAGCAGCATCCATACAATACACCCCAAGATCTTTCCTTTCTGTGCTTTTGGTAATTTAGAAAGATAGGAGACCCTGTAAAAACATAGAGAGAAGGGGCTTATTTAAGTAGAAATTGTACGTGGCTGGCTGAAAGGGAGTCGGTGTAACTAAAAGCTTTGATTTGGAGCCCAGACCAAGCGAACTAGCATATTTCAGAAATAATGAGTACCTGCTTAAAAACCCCATTTCCTGCCTGGAGCAGGCCAGCAGTGGGATGGCTTCACCTATTTTGGCCACGGGGATGCTCCTGTCCACGCCTTGGGGTCATCGTGTTTGTCTCCTTTTGCTAACATGCACTGAAGGAAGGATGGAGGTGCCAGGTTTCATTGCACATAGAGTTTCCCATTGTCCTTGCCAAGGTGTCCCTGATTGTAAGCACACACCAATTTTAGAAAGTTGAAGGTATGAAAGAAATGTGTCTTAGAATCCGTGAAACCGAGAAGTCGCATGTCTTGACTTTGATCTATATACAGGCCCGCCTCCTTTTGTTGCCCTTCTCTCGCAGGCAGGCATTATTTACAAGTTGAGCTTTGTGGCACAGGTGCCATTTTTCCAACCACTTGTGCTCACTTCATGCCTCTGTGTACATTTGGGCACAATGCTTAAAATATTTCCAACGTTTTCATACCACCACTACACAATTAATAGACTATAGTACCGTGTAAGTCCAATTTCTATATGCATTGGAAACCAGAATCTTCGTGTGCCTCAATTTATTGCAACACTCCCTGTACTGCAGTGGCTGGAACTGAACCTGCAATATCTCCAAAGTATACCTGTACCTTTTCTGAATTGATTGTGCACACGTGTTGTTGTTGTTGTTCTTAGGTGCCATCAAGTTTGTTCCGACTCATAGCAACCCTAGGCACAGCAGAATGAAGCGCTGCCGGTCCTGCACCACCCTCGCAATCACTGAGCACGGTTGTGTAGCCACCTTAGTCCATCTGCACTGACCGTCTTTAGCAAGCATGATGTCTTTCTTTAGAGATTGGATCCTCTTGATCACATGTCCAAAGCACATGAGATGGAAGTCTCACCAGCCCTGCTTCTGAGGCATATCTGGCTATACTTTTGCCAAGACAAATTAACTTTGTCTTGGTGGTTCAGGTTATGTTCAATATTCGTGACACCATAATTCAAAGGCCTCAGTTCTTCCTTATCCTCCTCATTTATTGTCTCCCTTTCACATGCATGTGAGACCGTTGAAAGTACTACGACTGGGGCAGGTGCATGTTAGTCCTCTTGTGGCTTCCTTGCTCTTCGGTATGTTAAAGAGGTCTTGTGTGGCAATGCAGTACATCGCTTGATTTCTTGACTGCTGCTTCCACAAGCATTGATTGCGAATCCGAGCAGGATGAATCCTTGACAACTTCAATCTTTTCTCTGTTTATCATGTTATCTGCTGGTGCATTTGTGAGAATTTTGGCTGCTTTACATTGAGTTGCAGTCTGTACTAAAAACTGCACTCTTCGGTCTTCATCAGCAAGTGCGTCCAGTCCTGGTCGCCTTTTCAACAACCAAGATTGTGCCATCTGCATATGGCAGGTGGTTAGTGATCCTTCGTCCAATCCTGATGCCTCCTTCCTCTTTGCTCAGTGTACAGACTGAATAAGTATGATGAAAGGGATATAACCCTGAAGTCTGCCTGAATTTTAGACCTCACAGTGCTGCCTTGCTCTGTTCTAAAGAGCGCCTCTCGGTCCATGCACAGGTTCCACATGGCCACAGTGAAGTGTCTGGAAGGCCCATTCTTTGCAGTGCTACCCATAGTGGGTTATGATCCACACAGTTGAATGCCTCTTCAGTCAGTGCGATTATGTAGTGCTGTTCATTTTACCATTTGCATAGATTATTGCCACTGCAGTTTGCCACACTGATGCCTACACTCTGAGCGGGGCTGACCCTGAGGGGTGTTTCCCAGTGATCCTGGGACATGAAGGAGCTGGAGTTGTGGAGAGTGTTGGCGAAGGAGTTACGAAACTGAAAGCTGGTAAGGAGAGTATTCCAATCACGTGTTTCATCATTTTGGCTTAATTTTATAGGCAATTGGAGTGGGGTGGGGTAGGGGGGACAGGAGGGGGCAGTAAACTACACACTATTTATGAACAGAGTATAGCCTAAATGAGTTGTCAAAAGATTGATTTTCCTTTTCATCTGGGAAGCACACTTTTGGTGTTTTCACTGATTTTGTAACTGGGGCTTGTCTGAAACAATAAAAGGACATTTCCAACGTCACTTTTGCCCAGTTAAGTCAACTCTCAGAGCTGCGTCAGTGAATCTGTGCTGTGAAGCATGTGGCCACCTTGTGTTCTACTTGGTGCTGGAAGAGTTTTATGTAGATGGACATTTGGATACTTGTGGGTTTTGTCTGGCCGCGGAGTGTGTGAAGGCTGTTCCGTAGGTAAAATCCAAAGCCTTAAAGTTGTTAACCTTGCAGCGTGGAGTAAGTTGACCAGAATGAGAACCTGCAGGAGCGGTGTACTCACTTACTGATTCATGGGGATGTCTGTCTGTTCCCCAGGTGACACTGTCATTCCACTGTACATCCCACAGTGCGGAGAATGCAAATTTTGTCTCAATCCGAAGACAAACCTTTGCCAGAAGATCAGGTTAGTATTTTAGTTTTAAAACAAGAGCTCCTCTTTAAATGATAATAAGTAGTGGCAGGCAACTTATCAAGTGCTTTTTACAAGAATTATTTCACTCCATCTGTGTAGCAACTTCACTGTCATTTTCAGTTCTCCCATTTTCGTAGTTGAGAAAAATAAGACACAAAGATTAAGTGGTTTGCCCAGTTTCACCAGTTCTTAAGAGTGGAAATGGCTTTCTGAACCCCGCCTCTTTCCATAATGTTTAGTTTGGCATCATACAGAGCATGTCGGAACAAGCTTGTGAGATTACAGGGAATCATTCCTAAAAGCCATTCTATTGTTCATTTAAATCAAAGTAATAAAACGTACCTCATAAGGTTACTGGGAAGACTATAAGAGATAACATACCCCTTAACACAGGGAAGGGAGTTATTATAATGAGGTAGCTGCACTTAAAGACTACTACTTTGAGCCAGTTTAAAATCCCTTTGTATTTGTTTCTTTTTATTGAGGTTTAACCTTAAGTGGACATCTCAGTGAATTTTTATGCATATATTCACATGATAGCTATAATTGTAGCCAACGTTACAATACAGAGCCCTTCTGACAACCGACAAACCCTCACGGTTGACATCTGTGTGGTTGTAATTAGTATTTTACCTTTATTCTTTTTTTACCTTTCTAGGTTCTAATGACCATTGCAATGGCTACACAACTCACAGACAATAGTAGTGACTAAAGGGTTTATTAAGGAAGTTGACAGTGTATAATCTAGTGAGAAATGCTTAGGATACAGCTGCTTTATCCAGACTCGTTACAAAGTTCTTGCAGGTCTGCTAGTAAATACCCAAAGGGCATGCCACTTGGCTGTAAGCCTCAACCCACAAGCCTTCAGCGCAAGCTCTAGGAGTCAACAAACCCAGCTCCCTGCAGTAAGTGCCCCAAAGCACCCCACTCCAGTAAGCTTCGGCCCAAAGCCTCCATTTCTGTGGGTCAACCAGCTCAGCTTTCCCACTGATGTGTGGCACTCACTCCTCTACCAGCCTCCTACCCCGAAGCACACAGTTTTACCTGCTGTGTGGCCTGGGAAGTCCACCTCTCTGCTACCTGTTCTGCCTCCTTGTTCTCCTGCTGCTCCTGCCATGAGAGCCGTCACCTGGGTCCAGGAGGTTCACTACACGGCTCTCAGGTGCAGAGAGTGCCCTCCGCTCTTGGCTCTTGATGGGAATGAGATCCCTTTCCCGGCTTCTCGGAGGACTCGTTTTATACGAAGCAGGGTGGCATTCCATACAATCCTGTTCACACTTTCCCCCCACAATTTCTTGGCAGGTGAATCTTACCGGTCTCCTACCCCACCTTCCTACCAAAACCATGCAGGAAAGGGAAGTTAGGTGGAAGTTAGGTACTGTGGCTGAAAAAGCCAAATAATCTACTGCCCCTGCCAAACTCCCCTTCCTCAAAGGTCACCACTGTTCTGATTTTTCACTAACATTTGCTAGAAGTGGAACCACATCATGTATGTTTCTGGTCTGGTTTCTCCCTCTTCGTGGCTACGAGAAATCGCTGCATTGTATTTAATAGTTCTTCTTCATTGCTGTGTCATGGTCCATTCTAAATACCACCTGTTTATTCATTTCCTGTTGATGGGTACCTCGGCTGCTCCCAGTTCAAAGCTATGAGCGTTCATGTTGCTGGGACCATTCTTATATATGTCTTTTGATGATTATATACACTTCTTTCTCAGATATTTTCCTGCGTAGAACTGCTGGCGCTTAGAGCTTGTGCAGACAGACGCAGGCACGCACACGCACGACACTAAGTAGCTTTGTAGTATGACGAGCGCTCTTCACCCCCACAGCAGTGTACGGGGGATCAGATGTCTAATGTCATTGACAAAATCAGATGACGCGCTTGTGAAAAAAAAGAATAAAAAGATGATGGAGTTTTCTAGGAACTTAGAGAAGCCTCCTCGTAATTTTGGAAAGCAGGATTCCACTCATTTTATGCTATCAAGCCTATCATATAAATCCATCTTAAAATATAAACATTTGATATAAAGATGTAACTTTTAACAAAATTAGAACCCAAAACAATCTAGTCTCTTGAAAGGGTATTTCAAACACAGTCCGAAGAACAGGGCCATTCATTAAGTATACAAATGCAGCTTCTCTGTGATTCTGTCACCGTCTAGGAAGCGCCCTGGTGGCGCCGTGGGCTAAGTGTTGGACTGCTCACGGACCCGCCCACTGCTCCTGGGAGGGAGATGAGGCCGTTGCTCCTGGGAAGATGTGCAGGGGACCTGGGAAACCCTACACGGGGGTCCTGGGAGTCGGAATGCACTCAGGGCAGTGGGTTTGAATTTGATCCTTTTGAAAGGGAGACTAGAGTTCTGTCACGTTGACAGATTCCTTCTCCCCTTGCAGAGAGCTACACAGGCTTTCATCGCTCTCATAAAAATAAACGCTGTTTTGGTGGAACTCTGTTATCTTGATGTTCCTTGTTCTGGGTCATATGTTTATTCTCAAAACGACTATATTTACTCATTTAAAAAAAAGTGTGGATTAGGTTGGGGGTGGGCTATTTACATCTCAGAGCATGAGCTCTGCATTCAACAGTTCAGATCACGCATCCTCCCTGCCGCCCTCCCTCTCCCTCTTATGGACCGCCATCCTCCCGGGTCAGTAGCTTTCAGCGCTCTAGTCCATTGTTCCTCCCTCCCACCTTTGCCCTACCCCCTTACCACCCCACCCCACCCCCCCCAGCCTCCAGATCTGTTACTTATATACCTAGAGGCAGTCCATTTCCGCTTCAGGGAGAGAGAGAGAGTGTGTTACTAAAGGATTTCTCGGAATGGATTTCAAATGTTAATGGTTATTAAAGTAGCACACACTAAACACTGTTATAGGCACAGTGCTAATGCTTTACATTTCATTTACTTTTCATAATAATGAGGAAGATACTGATATGGTTCTAAAGAGACACTAAGTCACAAAAAGTCTAATTAACTTATGTAGGATTTAAACCTGCGTGTGCTTGACTTTAGGGACTATATACTAAGGAAGGCATGTTCTCAACTGTTTGGAATATAAAAGATAATTTGAAATATAAAAAATTATTTGGCCTTTGTGGAGTGTTCTTTCTGTCATATTGTGTTGTCATGTTGTGCCAATTACACAGGCAAAGTTAAAAGATAACTTGAGTCTTTTTTTTAAAACACCGCCCTGAAAGATCTAAATGGGTCAGGTTGGCTTTCTGTCTTAATCTGTTAGCCTTATAACTGTAAGGCTTGTCTTTTGTGGATTCTGGTTTTGCCTTTAACCTTTATGATGTTGTGGTTCTCACAGAGTATTGTGATAGAATAGATTTGTAAAATAACTTCTTGTGATCCGTATACAATTATGGATCTGGCAAAATAAGATCCAAAAGGAAAGTAAGTGTTAGAAAAGATGGGCTGGATTCCAAATCTCTTAAAAGGCATTGCTGAAAGGTGCTGAGTTTTTAATGAATACATTCTGATTTTGACTTTTGGTCTTAGCACACTTTTCTAAATATTCACTGGTCATTATTTGTAAAAACCATTTTCTTTCTCCGATGGGGTTTCAGGGCAGTGGCCTTCAGCATGCCTGTAACTCTGAGGTTGGTCCAAGGCCAGCCGATGGTTTGTTCTGTTATTCCACATGGTCTCAGTGAGGCGGCCACAACAACCGGGGTCTTGAGAAGCCAGAGCCTAGCCTGCCCTCCTCCTCCTCTCTGTCCTTCAGAGTCACTCAAGGGAAAGGACTGATGCCGGACGGTACTAGCAGGTTTACCTGCAAAGGAAAGCCCGTATTCCATTTCATGGGAACCAGCACCTTTTCGGAATACACAGTCGTAGCTGATATCTCTGTTGCTAAAATAGACCCTGCAGCACCCCTGGATAAAGTCTGCCTGCTGGGTTGTGGCATCTCAACCGGTTATGGTGCTGCCGTGAACACTGCCAAGGTAAGAGATTGGCCTGCATATTCACTTCCGCTTTCTAATCTGGTTCAACAAAGCTTTGCCAGCATCATGAAATTAGCCCTATCACTTCGAACCCAAGTGATTTCCTTGATTTTTCTAGCACAAATATCTCATAGACTGTTTTTACCATTAGGTGGAACCTGGCTCTACTTGCGCCATCTTTGGCCTGGGAGGAGTTGGATTGGCAACTATCATGGGCTGTAAGGTGGCTGGTGCCTCCCGGATCATTGGTATCGACATCAATAAAGATAAATTCTCAAAGGCCAAAGAGTTTGGGGCCTCTGAGTGTATTACCCCACAGGACTTCAGTAAGCCCATCCAGGAGGTGCTTGTGGAGATGACAGATGGAGGGGTGGACTACTCCTTTGAGTGCATTGGTAATGTGAAGGTCATGGTAAGTGTTCTGGGCTAAATCCCTTTCTTCCTGGTACTGCTTGATTTGGGTTAAGATTCAATAAAGTTTGTTTCTTAAATGAGAGGCTGATTCTACTCTAATGAAGATGAGAGGACTTAACTATTCCAGTTAGCATTGGGAAGTGATACAGTGATCGAAGAAGCATTGGGAAGTGATACAGTGATCGGAGAAGCATTGGGAAGTGACACAGTGATC